GCTCTTCCGCAGCATGAGCAAGACGGGCCCACTGTCCAGGACCACCCGCGTCGGGACCATCCACTCCTACACCAGCGCCAGGGAGGTGAGGGGGGGCTCGGGCGTGGCTGGCTCCAAGAGGCTGGGCAGGCTCGGCAGAGGCTGCAAACTGACTCCCAACCCTTTGTCTGGGGCGGGGGAGGAGAGAGGAATAATTTTTTGCCAGGGGGACACTTTTCATAAATTTCTGAAGTGGCCCGGGGCTGCCCTGGAAGGGGCAGGGCCAGGAGACTTTTCGTGCTCCCCCCTCCAGACTCTGATTGGCCTGGGGTGGGAGAGCACGTGAAGTTCCTCCCCCTGCTTCCCCTGCCCCTAGAGCGAGTAACAGCTGGCGGTTCCCTCTAGGTGCCACAGTGGGAGGAGACTTCGCACACTCCCCCCGCCCCCAGGCCAATATATATTTCTCTTGCTCCCTGCTCTCACCCTGCCAGGGGTGCATGAAAGCTAGAGAGAAACACTGCCTATTAACAGCTGGCAGGTCTCTCTAGCTGCCATGCACCCTTGGGAGGAGTCTCAGTTGGCCTGGAGCAAGGGAGAGGCAGGGTGGCTGTGGGCCGGATCCATCCCTGCCCTTGTCCCTAATGCCCTAAGGAGCAGGGGAAAGCTTATCCAAGCACCAGAGACATTGCCCTGCCCCCATAGAGGGATGTAGCGACCAGTGTGACAGTGTTTGACTCATTGCCAATTTCCCAACAGCCTCTGGTGACTTCCTGGTCAGAGGACAAACAGGTGAAGCAGCAGCTCATTCTGCCCCTGCCGGAGATAGTGGCCAGACACTCCTTACAGGGCCTGCTGAGCAAAGAGGGAGAGGGGAGCACCCGTTTCTACTAGCTGATCCCCCAGGACACCCGTGCAAAGGAGAGGGACTGAGCATAGATGGCAAAGTCACAGGTTGGCACCTGGGTTTATTTTACAAAGCTGCCCTATAAAACCTCTGGAGTGACTGAGCTGTCTGGCTGGAAACCAAGGACAGACAAAGCCAAGCTGAGGCCAGGCAAGACCACCAAGGCCCAGACCTGTTTTGCAGCGAGAGGGACAAAGTGCTGTTGGGGCAGAGTAGTCCCAGGCTAGCACCCCTGAACTCTACCAGCCTCCAGCTGGGCTCAGGGGTGGAGTCTCGCCGGAGCTGGGAGTATTTCTCATGCTTATCCATGCTGCAGGGCCAGGTGCTGGCCCTCGGCCATGTGGAGCCAGGCCCTCTGCAGGGCTGCCTTTGCCAGCACCTATGAGGTTGGGAAGAGAAGCTTGTCACCTGACTGGGGAATGGCACCTTCTTGGGCATTTCCCCCCCAATTTCATTGCCAGGAGCTGCCTTTGGCCCCTCTGGGGTCAGTGCTCTCTGCTTAGCTTCCCCAGGCTGCCCAGCAGCGGCAGCTGTGCCCAGAGGCCCATTAAGGAGTCCAGGACCACTGCTTTCCAGGAGCACCAGATTCATAAAGTCTCCCTCCAGCTCAAAGGGTCAATGAGGCGTACTGTCTCCCTTGCTGCCAGGGGGTGGGCAGTCCTGCCTCATGCGCACAGCTGGGGTGGCCTTGCTGCTGTTCCTATGCAGGATGTGTTCCAGCAGCAGGTCAGCTGCCTTCTCCAGGACGTGCTGCACGACCTCCTGCTCGGCACCAGTGAACCTGTCCAGCACGTAACGATCCACCATGGCTTCGTCCACCGGCCGGCCGATGCCAACCCTGAGCCGCACCATGCACTACAGGGAGAGAAGGGGCTTCAGCATGTGCTGTGTGTCCTCTCCCCGCTGCCACCTGCTCCTGCTGCCGGGGCCTGCCTTCACCGAGCTGGGCTCCCGGCACAGTGCAGCAGTTGCTACAACGTGCTAACCGTGCTCAGCAAAGGTTGGAGCTAAAGCGGCTGCTGGATGTTCTGACGTGAGGCTGGAGGGCAGGGGAGCCCTGGGACTCTTACTAGCTAAAGGGGGAGCCTGTGGGCTAAGGAGAATCCTAAGTGCCTCATGAAAGCCCAGAGCCCCACACAGCAGAGAGCAGCCACGGCAGGGAAGCTGGGCTTGCATCCTGCTCTGTTCCTTTGTCTCCCTGGGCTGTAGATGGGTTAAGGCTGGGCTCCAGCTAACACCAGCTGGGGAAGTGTTTTGTCCAACAAACACAGTTCGGCTGGTAGCCCGAGCTGCCAGCCAGGCCATGTGGTTCCACTTTGACTAATTGCTTCCACCCCAGAGCTTGTGTGAGAGAAGGGCTGGGCTGGGAGCGGGAGATGAAGATCTCCTGTCTACTAGTGAGAGAGAAGCTCAAACAAAGGGAGTCTAAAGCCTTAGGGTGACTCACAGGGGGGTAAGTGCTTTCTGGGCTGGGGAGAGAGGGTGCTTTGCCTACGCGCTGCTAGATGATAAAGGTCTTTACCCTTCAAGGCCGACTTACATCTGAGTGCAGGGAGCTGATGCAGGAACGGACGCCATTATGCCCCCTAAAGAAAGCAAGACAGGGCAGCTGTCAGAGCCCTACAGAGCTCATCCAAGGGCTTCACATTAAACTCCCCATCCTCTTTGCTCTGTATGAACAATAACCAATCCCTGCTCCCAACCTCGGGGCCAGCAGGGGTACCGTTATCCCCCTTTTGTAGGACCCAAGCACTGGGCTTGTTCACCCACAGCGCTGCACTGATTTAACAAGAGGTGCAAGGTTTTCCCAATTTAGTTAACCTGGTGCAAATCCCATGCAGACATTTGGATTTCATTGTAAGAGCAGCCTAGGATAGCTCAACTTATTCAGGCTTGGGCTAAAGCACAAGTCACTCAAAGTGACATCTGAGTATCCAACCCAGAAATCTGATGCAAACTTCTGCAAAGAAGGCCCTGGACAGGCCTGCCTTGTCTTGCAGAGATTCTGAGCACCAGCAGCTTCCATTGACTGCACCTGGAGTTCTGGGTGCTTAATGTTTCTGAAAAATCAAATCTTAAGTGACACACCCAGGACCAGAGAGGCAATCGGTGTCAGAGAGAAGCAGCTCATGATTCCCAATCCCATGCTCAGACCAGGCCTCACTTACATGCAGAAGGCTCTGATCTGGGCCAAACCTCCTGGGTGATCCAGAGCTAGAGGATATTGCTAAAGAGGTTGCTCAGCTGGGATACGGCTGTGCATATACAATGGCCCTTGCCCTGCACCAAACTCCCCAGCAGGGGCTCTGGTATATGGTGCTTTCCACTGCGGGAGAACGGAGTATTTGCAGCACACTGCCTAGATTGGACAGGTCTGAACATAGCCAGATATGAAACGTGGCAATAAGAGGGGTGAGCCCGGGGAAAAGCGTGTGGCTAACATACTGAAAGGTCGCTCTTCAATCACGTCACTGTCACCACAAACAGGTCTTGGTTCTGTTAGGTCTCAAGTGGCAATTAAGGTGGGACACCGTGACTCAGGGAGGCTGCCTAGCACCTCTCAGGGCATTCATGGCTGTATTTTATCACAGTAGCCTGGGCACCTGTTGTTTCCTGCGCACCTACTGCCAGAGCCCACAATTTAAAATATCTCTAGTTTAACTGGTGCTTTGACCTGGGAGCTGCAGGAGCTTGGGCAGACAGTAAAATAAACTGATGTCAGTGAAAGCTTGTAAACCACTAGAGAAGTGAGCACAACTTAGAAAGATTCTGTCACCAATCGGCTGCCACTTCTGCAATCCGGAGGATGGAGATAGCCCAGTCACAGTCCTGAATGCCCCATTTAAGATACATAGAGTAAGATGCAGCTCACACAAATCTTCCAGAGTCATTTTCCACAGGAGCTTTCCTTTTGTACCTTGCGCTGCCTCCCAGTTTTATTGCCATCTTCCCCAGTGGCTTGTCCAGGTCGTCATGAACCAGGTAAATGTCTTCTACCCTGAACTTGTAAATTTCAGCTTGGAAAAAAAACCAAAGACACAAGAAATGAAGCAAAATTAAATCCATCTGTCACCATCCCACAGCTTTTGGGACCTAAACAAAGACACTGCCTGCGTCAATGGAGAAAAATTACAGGAGACGAGGAGGGCAGGAAATGCATAGCTAGGCCAAGAGAACTTCTAACCTCAGGAATTCACTATCAGCAGTGCTGGCAAATTAGCTGCACACGTTGTCACGAGCTGTCTGATGTCTGCACCATATGATACTGCTGTATGCTGCTAATGTCTTTTGGCCAAAAGTACTTTACAGTCCAGGCCACTGAAACACAATGGGCTGAAAAGTCATAGCCAACTAGTTTGCAGCAGGCTACACAGCAGTGTGAGGAGGGGAACTTGTAGCCAAGGACACCAGGGAAAAGCCTGACTCTTCTGAAAGATACCTTGGGATTTCTGGTATCCCTGCAATGCCCTCAGGACTTTGGTTCCAAACCCTACCACCTGTTTTTTCCTAGAGATGCCAAAATGGCAAACTACATGGAATTCAGTTAATTTTTCAGACAACATATGGGAGGTGAAGATTAACACAGGAGACCCTCGTGATTTGTGGAATCGCTATTCACTGTTCTGCATATGTGCGTTCCCCATGGCTCCTGGCAGCTGCAGGGAGTTCCTGTAATGTGTTTAGGAGGTTATGTGTGTGCACTGCCCTCTATTGGATAAACCTAGGTATGTTCAACTGTGTGTCATAGGCCTGATACTGGAAATGGAGATTCTCCTTTAGCTGTAGCTTGAGCTTTTAGATTAGGAGGACTTGAGCTCTTGTCTTGCTGCCTGAATGGCCATGGAATAACAAAGTCCTAAGAGGACACAGAGTTGTTACATCGTTGTCCCTATGGCAAAGAAAAGGAGACTGTCCCTGGCAGGAGTGGGCACAGTAGTCTCAGGACAGACTTGTTGCTCACAGCTCTGAGTGGCCCCCTATGGCTCAGAATGTGAAAGGTGAAGCACAAAGGTCCCTGGAAGGCTACAGTTGTGTGCATTGCTCAGCTGGCTCTTGGGGGTGTTCTGAGCCACTCACCAGCACTTGCTACACTGAGTCCATTGATGTTCATGAGCTGCCGAGGTTTCATCAGCACCAGCTTGGCTTCCTCCACGTTGGTGATGGTCACATCTGCACGGCAACGTCGATCTGCTTTCCATTGGTTGGCAATGTTCAACTTCTGGGCCAGCTGATTGAGCACTGCCATGCCCACGTTATGACGGGTTCCTTGCAGCCCATAATTTCCTAGCCCTGCCACCTGCAAAGAGGGCCAGTAAAAGGTGTTACTGGGACTCTCTCTGCATCAGAATCCAACCAGAGTCACTACAGCCAGCCCTTGGAATGTAGTGAGGTTCAAGTCTGCCTTCCCTGCAGCCCTGCTCCATTCACTACCAGGGCAGGAAACTCACTCAGCAAAACCAGCTGCTTCCCTTCAGAAGCAGCAATGCAATCACCAGGTCCATGGTTGGTTACTGTAGGGCCAGACTCTGTGACTTTGAGGGTCTGTCTCTTGTTAAACAGAACTGAGATGAGCTGAGCACTAAGACTGAGATGCTCAAATGACCTATGTGATCCCTGTCCCCCCCATTTATTCCAGCTGTACCCCCCTCTCTGGGAATAAAAGTCATAAGGTAACTAAGATCTGTATGTGTCCTGTGATTTTTTTTTATCCATACGCAGGGAGACAAAGTCCCTTAGAAATAACAGTAACTGCAGTTGGCAAAGTGAAGAGCAAAATCCAAGAAGGTGAACTCCAGCTGTGAAATATCAGTGTGTGGAGATGGCATCATAAGATCATTTATGAGGAGAAATGAGCATTTATTACTTGTATTATGGTAGTGCCTAGGGGCACCAGTGAAGGATCAAGATCCCACTGTGCTAGGGATTATGCAAACATAAAACAAAAAGTCCCTAATATCCCCAAGGGTCACAATTTAAGAATAAAACAGAAGATGATAAACCGATGATTCTGACAGTCAGATGGGTAGTCAAGAAAACAATAAGCCAATCTCAAGTATTGTTATATATCAAGGAAAAAGAGATTTGGAGAGACTGAAATGTGGATAATGAGGTGCCTTTGTGGATATTTAGTGGGAGCATCTCCCAAGCATGTGGCACCGTGTAAGAGAAAGCAGTTGATAAGTTGGCATTGCAGGTTGATCAGAAGTGGGAGTCAGGATAGTGGAGGAGGGAGGATAGGTAGAGTTAGTCTGCAGGGCATTCTGCATCAAAAAAGTTAAAATTCTGTGCACAATATTTTAAAATTCTGCAAATGTTCTTTATCAAATTAATGTGGAGGTTCCAGCATGGCACTGGGCAGCACAGGCTACTGGCTGCACAGAGGTAGGAGATCACTGGTCAGCTCCCCCTTGGGACAAAGTCTTTGTGGTGAGTCTGCATCCAATATTGACCCAGCACGAGGACCAGGCCTGCCCCAGAAACACCTCAGGGCCTTGCCCCTCCATGCTAGGTGCACCCGGTATGGGCAAGATCAAGTGTGAGGGGCTTGGTGTGTGTGGGGGGGGGATCCAGGTATGTGTTGAAAGGATTCTGTGTGGGCCAATATGGGTGAGGGCAGCTCTGTGGGTGATCTGGGTAGAGGCAGGATCTAGATGTAGAGGCTTGTCGTGGAGTTCTGGGTGCAATATAATGGGATTCTGCAGGGGGCACAAGCAAAAGTGGTTGGTGACTCCAGCTCTGCAGGGGGTTCTGGGCATGGAGGGCTCAGGGAGGGAGTCTAAACATTGGGAGAGTGAGGCTTAGTGGGGGTGGAGATCTAGGTGCAGATGGTTAGGGTTCCGTAGGATGGGGCTAGGTGTTGGTGGCTCATTGGAGTGGATGAGCTGCAGGAGTGGGGCTTGTGTGTGGGGGGGGTCTGGGTGTGGGATAGGAGGGCTCAGTGGAAGGGTCTGAATGCATGGGGACTGGGTGGATGGAAAAGCGGTTCTCTGTAGAGAGCCCTCATTAGCATATTTTTTCATGAAAACTTGTAGTGTAGATGTTTCCCCAGAGAAGAAGTTAGGGAGGAAAAAGATCCTCCAAAGGACACACTGAAGGAGGAATTATAGTTCTAGGAGAACCAGAGAGGATGGAGTAAGACAAGCCAACAGAGAAGATTTCAACATTCTGGCGGACAGGCAGATGACTGGTCAATGAGGATGTAGTACTGGTTCTGAGCTTTGTCTAGATAGAGGTCATTCAAGACTGGTGAAAGTAGTTTTGGCAGAGTGCATGGGACAGAAGCTGATTTGGAGAGGGACTGGGGAGGAGTTCCAGACAGTGAAGCATTCTGAGTTTTGAGATGAAAGACAGAAGGGATGATAGATAGAAAAGTGTGGGGCAACTCCACGTTATGACATTGAATAGTGACACTATCATATTTGACTATGAAACATTTCCAGAGGTTAATGCAGTTGTGAGAGGGAGAGGTATAGATTACTAAGGAAGTACAGAAGGTGGTGTGGGGTAGCAGGCCTGAGTCTTGTTAGTTCATTATTAATTTATTAGAATACGGTTGTGAATCTATCATCCATAGAACTCTTTGGCTATGTCTACACTGGCGGGTTCTTGCGCCAGAAATATGCAAATGAGGCTAAGCGTGGAATATTGCTGAGCCTCATTTGCATACCTAATGAACCATCATTTTTTGCAGAAGAGGCTCTTGCGCCAGAAGGAACATCTACACTGCCCCTTCTTGCGCAAGAAAACCCCTCTTGCGCAATGCTGTTATTCCTGAAAATAATCAGCGTAGCGGCGTTGCACAAGAGGGTTTTTCTTGTGCAAGAAGGGGCAGTGTAGACGCTCCTTCTGGCGCAAGAGCCTCTTCTGCAAAAAAAAAATGGCGGCTCATTAGGTATGCAAATGAGGCTTAGCAATATTCCACGCTTAGCCTCATTTGCATATTTCTGGGACAAGAACCCGCCAGAGTAGACATAGCCTTTGTGGCATATAGAAAAATGTATTATTTTGGGAACCAAGCAGAGTATGTTGTGGGATAGGTGGAAGGGAACATAAAATATGCTAAAGCAGATCAGCCCACTGGCCCCTATTGATCTGTGACTACTGCTTAAAGGGGCTTATACACACAGCTTAATTCAGAATAAGGCATCACAGTAATAGTAAGCAACCAGAAAAAAATGATCCTGGGGGAAATCTCTTCTTGACTGGTCAAATATTGGCTTCAGCCTTGAACTGCTGGGTCACTCCCCTTGGCTATTTCATCTCATCCAGCGTTTTTGTGAATGTTCTCAGCCATGTAAGTGTCAAAGAGAGTGGATCAAGAGATAGGATTGCTCCTACCAACCAGTCTACAACTCACAAAGAGGCCGGAGCGCTTATGACTGGATTATGCTATTTGTTAACTTCTATTTTGTTCCACTCAGATATAGTTCTAAATCATGATTTTAGAAAAAAGGTGTGTGGCTATAGCAGACAGTTGCAGCAAGTTTGCCCACCACTAGTTTAAAGTGTAGGCCCATGTGCCATAATTTTTTGCCAGGGACCCCATCAGCAATTTTTGAAGTGGCCTTGGGGGGCCAGGATGCTTCTGGGCTCCCCCCCCACCACCAACCATGGACTGGGGATGGAGGAGCCCCTTTGCCCCCCCCTTCCCACTAAGCACCCATGCCCCTTGCAGTGGGAGGAGACTTCCCATGCTCCCCCACCCCCAGGCCAATCAGGAACTGGGGGAAGCATGCAAACCCTCCTCCCACTCTGCCAGGAGTGCAAGGCTCTTCCACGCTCCTCACAAGAAGGAGGAAACTTCCTGTGTTCCCCCTGTCTCTGGGCCCTAATTGGCCTGGGGCAAAGGAATGGCAGGGCCTCCGTGGGCCGGGTCAACCCACTTGGCAGCTGGATCTGGCCCGCAGAGGCCCATTTGCCTACCCCTGCATTAAACACACATCTGAAACTAATGTGTGCAAATCTTGATCTTGGAATCTGCACACTGATGCTTAAATCCTCCCTCCCCCGTGCACAGTCCTCATGGGTGCTTTGCCATACTTCGGGTCTGGTTGTACTTCCCCACGCCAGCAAGGGACAGAGCGTGGCGCAGGAAGCCGGCCCTGCAGCAAGCCCACGAGCCAGCGATGCCCAGAGCTATTGCTGCAGACTTTGGGGATGCAGGGTCTGTGGGGCGGGGCGCTCCCCAAGGGCTCTGCACAGGCCTGGCACCACTCGGCCTCCAGGACACCTGCACGCCAGGGGCTCCCAGCTCCCCCGCGCAACCAGCTGTCTTGATCCCCGACCCGGAAGTGGTACCTCTGCCCGCGTTTCCCGCCCCGCCGTGACCCAGGACATGATTCTCTCCCGCCCGTGCGTGACCCGGGAAGTGCTCCCTTTGCCCGCGCTCTCTCTACCAGGACCCGCCTCCCGGCGGCGCGCGACTCGGTCTCGCAGTGGCTCATGGTTCGGCTCAGTAACCTCCCGAGGCGCCTGGGCAGCGGCCGCAGCATCTTTCCTCCTTCCCCCCGCGGGGCGCGCTGAGACCGCCGCGCACGGGCACCCCTCAGCAACAGCCTCGCGGCCTCTAATGCGTCACGCCCACCGCGACCAATCACAAGGACCGCAACCTACCACGTGGCCGTGCCGTCTTGTTCGCGAGCAGAAGGGAGTCACGCTACGTGGGTTGATGGGCGGTGCCATTTCGATTGTGGGACAGGAAGGGCGCAGGGCACGTGATCTGCGGACGTGGCCATTTTGCTTGTGGGCGGAAGCCGACTACCCTTGGTGCCCCATAGGAGGAACTCTTCGTTCCATGGGTTGGTCCTTGTATCAGTAGATTTGGTGGTTTATAAAACGCACCAAGGGTCTTCAACGGCTTGTGGGGGGCAGAGCTGCCTGCTGGGCAGAGGCTTCGTGCCTGCAGGCTGCCTCCGGCCAGACCAACCGCCCCCTTCTCTGTCTGCCCCATGATATAATTAACCCTCTTTCACGCCACCCTCCCTGGCAGTATCAGCCACCCTGCAGGGCACTGACCCTGGGCGAGGTTGCCTCAGAAAAGTCTCCATCAACTGACGTTTGGGCGAAAAGAACCCCCCCCCCCACTACTCTGGGATGAACTGAACATCATGTTGTTATGGGATTCCCGTCTCAAAGTATTTTACCCATTTGGATCCCAGATGTAAATGGCAGCTTTAAGCCCAGGTTCATGTGGCTCATGACTGCACAGAGATAGCAGTGGCTGCTGGTTCTTGTGAAGGAAGGGTGTGGGGGAAGGGCTACTCAGAGGGATAGGAAGGCGACATGTTGGGGAACCCCATTTAACAAAATTTTGTCTGGAGCATAAGGGATGGTGCATCTCCTAGTGGTCTGATGCTTAAATCGTGTATGAGAGATAGTATGCGGACAGTAGTGTCGGGGACTCGAACCCAGACGGCTTCAGTTCGTTGTCTGACCACAAAGAGACAGGCAACACCAGCAAGGTCTAATCACAAAGCTCTTTATTGAAGAGTGCACACAACAATAGAGAGCAGCCCGTCTCTACCAAGATCCAGCCCCCGATTTCTATAGCAAGTAGGGTTATATAGACAGTTCCGTCGTGTCATAGACTATTTACTTAAGCAACCCACCCCCCTTTGTTAGTTAGAAACTTCTGGTGTGGGTGCATACCTTGCCAACTATACAAGGTGGCCTTGATACATTAGCAACTTTCTTATTAAGACATGTCAAAGCAAAAACACGCTCCTCTCTGTTTAGGCGGCTAACAACTGATTGCTTTATTGATCAGTAAAGCAAAGTGAGCCAAACGTGGTCCCAGCAAAGCCGGGCCCAGTAAGGCTGCTAATACAATCAATCCTAGTATCTTTATACCCTTAGCCAAACAGTCTGATGTCAGGGCATCCAATTACAGAAATCCTCAATTAAATTTGGAAAAACAAAGCCTTATCAACAAGATGGCGGACAGGTACGAGGGAGTACATCTCCTGTCCCAACCAGCCCAATTAGCACATACCAATAGCCCATCCTGTAGGCCTCTTCTCACGGGGTGACAGAAAGTTCACTCTGGTCTACGTGCTTGAAAGAAAAGCTGAAATGGTTTCTGATATACAAGATGGCTTCTAGCTAAATATGAAAATGGTTTCTACAGCTTCTACAGACAGAAGGCGAGTACCAGACAACGAGGAGACGGGGAGTTTTCTTATCAGTTTCTTAAGCAAGCTGTTCAGCTCAGCAAGTACAAAAATGCAGCTGTTCGCTTATCTAATGCCCTTGCTCAACTCATGTCTCAAATTTTGTTCAGGGACTACCCAGAACCCTTTGCTGACTCTTCTCCGTCTGTCTTAGCATAACCGCCCTAGGCCCAATTTTCTGTGGCCTAACAGTAGGAATCCAGTAGGGATGTGAAAGATTAACCGGTTAATTGGCAAGCATCATCTTTAATCGGTGATATTTAGCAGTTCTGATTAACCCCAGGGGGGCTGCCTCAGTCCTGTGGGGTCTACCACTGGCAGGGACTGCTCTGGCATCTGGAGCAGCCTGTCCATGGTGTGGAAATGCAGGCAGATGCTGCTCAGGCTGAGCTGGAGCGATTCCCCCCTCCCCCCGTCTTCCTCCTTTAATCTGTTAACTGGTTAAACCAGTGGTCCCCAACCATTTAAGGTTGCCGGGCACCAGGGGGTGTGGCCGTTCACCCACCGGGCGCCAGAGGGCAGGACCCCCCCATAGCCGCGTGCCCGGGGCCAGTGCCCCCCCCAAGCGCCGTGTGCCCGGGGCCGGCGCTCCCCTCATGCGCCATACACCCAGAGCGCGGGCGACTAATCCGCGGCACTCCTGGGGCCAGCACTCATTGTGTGCCCAGGGCGCACGATGTTGGGGACCACTGGGTTAAACTGTGTTTAACCAATTAAATGGGATTTTACATCCCTAGCATCTGAGTGTTAAGACTGTTGGATTCTGTTGTTTGAGACTCCTCATCGCTTTTGCAGATTCAGACTAACAGGGCTACCCCTCTGATACTTTGTGCTTCAGTTTCCCTAACAAGTTAGATGTAAAATTAGGCTTAATTCACAATAATATTTAAACAAAATTGAATTTTTATGGGTATGTTCAACCAAGCATCTTAATGACATATGAAATTTGCCCAAACCCACTGTCATAGGAAATTATTCTGCTGTTTCATAGGTAAAATGATTACAGTGATTAAATGACTTGCCCAAGGTCACACCGAAAATCTGGGGTAAAACCAAGTCGACCCTGGAAATCTGGATGCCATAACCACATCTGCAACTCATTTTGAGATCCTTGGACGGAAGATACTAGAAGAACACAAACTATTAAGAGGATTTTAGCAGGCTGCGCCCCCTGCTTGCTATGCTCACTAACCGCCCTCTTGGACAGGGAGGGCCCACGCTGCCCAGGCCCTGGCTTTTTTCCCTACCCCGGCCAGCCAGGCAAGGCCTCTCCCAGGGCTGAGGTGGACCCGGCTCTGTGCCCGACTGCCAGGAGGTGGGCTGGGCTGAGACTGAACTGGGCCCTGTTCTCCCCCCAGCTACTGGGTGGGGCCGGTTCCCCTGGACTACCAGGAAGGGGTAGCTGGGCTGAGACTGTGCCTGCCGAGCTCTGCCCCAGCTACCAGGAGGGTCTGTGCTAGGGCCAGTCTCCTCCTCTGCCACGAGGGTGGGGGGGGCTGAGGCCCGGCCAGTAGCCTCCCCAGGAATTGAAATGGGGGGTGTTTGAATTTACAAGGGGGGGTGTCAGGGCTGATGAGGGGTGACACCATGAGGGTGAAGGTGGGCTGTATGGCACCATAGTTCACAAAACTGTGTGTGGGGGGGTGCAGGTTGGGGAAATTCAGGGAAATCCCTAGGCCCAGCAGCTACTGCTCTCTGCAGCTGCTGGGGAGGGCTGAGATGGGGGCCGCAGGCATCCACATCCCTACGTGGGCCCTGGGGAGGGCCAAACTGGGAGTGTGTGCGGCTTAGCTCCCGTGGATGCAGAGTGATGTGTTGATGTCACTGTTAGCCTACAGGACATTTTTTAAAATATATGTGTAGAGAGAAATATTCTTGAACTCTCATTACTGAGTTATTAACAAAGTTACCTTGAAAATTCTTTACAGCTACTGCTATGTAATGTTTCCACTGGTGGTAGCTGTTCTGGTGATAGCCGTGATGAAAAATTATAAAGAAACTTCAAGACTTACCGGCATTGCTCAAGTCCTTCAGAACATGGAGCTGAGGGTGTGTGGAGGGTGCAAGAGTCAGGGCAGGGGCTTAGGTGATGTGAGGGGCTCAGGGCAGGAGACTAGGGATTTGGGGGGTCCAGGAGTCAGGATTTGGGGTGAGGAGGGACTCAGGACAGAGGATGGGGGTGCACGAGTCAGAGCAGAGGGTGAGTGTGCAGGAGTCAGGGCAAAGGTGGAAGGTGTGCGAGGCTCAGAGCAGGAGGTGGAGGTGCCTGCCAGCTTCTCCTTAGGGCTGGCCCAGGGCTGCCGGGGTTGCACAGCCCATCTGGGACTGCACACCAGGGGTGGCTAGGATGGTGAGTGCCATGTTGCCCAGCTAATGGCTGCTTCCCAGGGCAGGCTGGGGTAATGGAGGCTCTACTGCAGGCCAGCAGGTGTTCCTGGGGCTGGGGCACTTGCCTCCTTGAGGTCATTCTGGGGGACATAACTGTCCCCTGTGCTTGCTCTCCCCCTGAGGTCATTCATGAATATAACCGTCCCTGCTATCACACCCCTCCCTTTCCATTTGATGAGAAATAGTCTAATTTCACACATCCCATTGTCCTGGCACAACCAAACCCTGACCTTGCTTTAAGTTATGATAAGAGGAAGTTACATACCAAATTTGGTGGTCTCAGTGCACTATTTAGGAGGACTTCTTGAACAAACAAACACTCAGACAGATGCACAAACTCTTTCAAATATCTAGTAGAAGATAACAGGACAGAGTAGACATAGAACTAGTCTAAATGGACCGTCAACTGCCATCCTTTTTATCTAAGGTATTTATACAGCCCCCATTACCATAGTACCTCAGCACCTCACAACCTTTAATATATTTACTTACCAGCATTTTACAAAGGGTCAATAAGCTCCAGTGTTGGTGAAAGCACAAGTCTAGACAAGATTCAGAGTTGGCAGCTCTTGTGATTTTACTGTGCTATGATTTTTGTGTTTCTCTTAAAGCTCCAACTGCCTGAGTCAGGTTATTACCTGAGAATTTTGGTGAAAAAAGTAACTTTCTAGCACTTGAGAGTTGGGGAGGAAAGCTTAAAAACATGACCACTTAATGGCTCCAAACCAGAAGGCAAATAAAAATAATCCCAAATATACCAATATTAGTATCTGTTAATATTTAAATTAGTTTCATAAATTGGGGGCTGTCTTGCAATATTTAAATGTTTGCATTGGCAATGCAACCAGACTCCTGGGCTGTGTCTACACTGGCCGCTTGAATTTCCGCAAAAGCACTGACTTCCTACTGTAAGAAATCAGTGCTTCTTGTGAAAATACTATTCTGCTCCCGTTCAGGCAAAAGTCCCTTTTGCACAAAGCTTTTGCGCAAAAGGGCCAGTGTAGACAGCCCAGATTTGTTTTCCGCAAAAAAACCCCGATTGCAAAAATGGCAATCGGGGCTTTTTTGCGGAAAAGCGTGTCTAGATTGGCACGGACGCTTTTCCACAAAAAGTGCTTTTGCGGAAAAGCATCCATGCCAATCTAGACGCTCTGTTCCGAAAATGCTTTTAATGGAAAACTTTTCCGTTAAAAGCATTTCCGGAAAATCATTCCAATCTAGACGCAGCCCTGATGTTTAACATCATGTATCTAATCTGGCTCAGAACCCAGCGGATAGAGGAGGGTGACCAGATAGTGTGAAAAATCGGGACACTTTTTTGGGAGGATGGCATATAGTTCCCTCTATAAGACAAAGCCCCTATTATTTGGATGTTGGTCACCAGGGCTCTGGACATCAATGGAGCTGCTCTGGTGGAAAACTAGTGCAAGGAGGCTGGGGAGTCCTGGCCCTCATCAGACAAACCCATCTGCTCAGGGTTCACCTTCCTTTGTTACCCAGCTGGCTGCAGTTTGATGAGGGACAGAGATTTTGCCCATCAGCCCAGTAAGTGACCTCAGGAGCCCTGCCCCTCCCTCGCAGACTGGGCTCACAAAGGGCCATGCCAGCACAGCAGGGATCCAGCTCTGGAACCTTCTCACTCTGGGCCCACCCCTCGGCCCTCTGCTGCCTGGATACCGCCTGCCTAGCAACCAGGGATGCGGCCACAGGGATGGCGGTGGCAGTGGTGCAGGCAGAGCCTGGGCAGCTGCAGGGGAATGAAGTGAGCACTGCTGGGCTGTGGGTCAGAGCCTGCGTCAAAATGAGAGGGGATGGAGGGTGCCCAGCTGGGGAGGGTGGAGGGCAATTGGCTCAGAGTTGGAGAATGAGGGGCAGAGGGCACAGAGCTGGGGAGGCAGCAGGAGAGGAACAGAGGGCAGAGTGGGGGGAAGGGTTTGGAGAATGCCAGGTGTAGAGCTGAGTGGGGTCAGAGAGAGATGAAACAAGTCAGAGATCACTGGGGACTAGCGCTGTGGGGAGGCAGTCAGGGGCAGAGACCCTGGCAGGGGGTGGGGAGAAAGAGTGACCAGGAGCCCCTCTCGCTGCAGGGACTGGAGATGAAAATGGAGCCGAAAGGGCTGTTCCCAACTGCTGTGTTCAAAGAGAAACTCCGGGAGATATCCCTGCGACGGATCTTCGGGTCCAGTCAGATTTTGCGAAACCTCGAGGACCCCAGCGGAGTGAAGTCCCCAAAAGTGATTTTGCAGAACAAGATAAAGGAGCAGTGAGTGCCCAGCAGACACTTCACACATTTTCACGCTTACACACACCTGGTTTCTTGTCCATGTCTTGCAAGGGGGCAGGGAATCAAACTTAAAAAAAACTTACTTAGTGCTGGTTCCAGATCCTGGAATGAGTCCTGGGGATTGATGTCCAGTTTATCCACAAAACAGGTAGAGTAAGGGCTATAGCTTCCCATGCCTGGCCACTGTGCCTTCATCCTGCTCTGTAGGGGCATGAGGCATGGCCAGGCTGCACAGCTGCTTGGCCCATGATATCTCCATTGAGATTGCCAGTTAGGACTGGCAACAGCCTGCTGTAGGATTACCCCGTCCTCTAGGAACTGAACTGAGACCCAGCAATGGAAGATGAGGATTTTCCAGAAATGCATGTTGTGCTGACTCCTGGGTAATTTTCTGAAATTGGAAGTAGACTGTCTGGAGTTGAGTTATCCATCCATCTGCCGGTTGGAAGATTGTCTGATGTTTCACTATGCTGACTGCCCCTGGATTTCCTCACCTCAGGACAGGCAGAGGAAGGATAGTCACCTGTACCCATTTAAGAAGAATAACATTTAGTAAAATCATAGGTCCTCTAATCTCCAGGCCAAACTCTCAGCTCTATATGGTGAGGCCACCAAACAACCATCAGATGGCTTCTATCACTACCAAGCTGAGGAGAATATGAGCTTGTGATCTAGAGATGATAGTATCTTTATCCCATTACTAGTGTCTATTGGTTGTCCCCAGTTCCTGCATTTCAGAATCTGTTCTCCCTGAACTTATGGGGTCACCAGAGTCCGCTGCAGAATCGGTAGGTAAGCAATGCTGGTCAAGCAGAGCTGTGGTCCTGCAACTTCTTGATCAGCACACAGGCTAGTGTGCTTATAGAGACAGTCACCCTCTTTTTTACTACCGTCCACCCAAAGTTCTCCACCTGTTTAACAAACAATTAATTAAGCCTCATATCACCCTTGCAGATATACACATTATCTCCAATTTACAGGTGGAGAAACTGAGTCAGTGCTTTCATAGGTCTGTGACTGTCACAGGGGCTGTGCTGCAGGGAGGGAAAATGTGCTTCTGCATAAGCTCACAATGTTGTCTTCGCATCACAGCTGTCAGCGAGGGAAGGAGTTCTTCTCCCAAGGCGAGTGGGAGAAAGCTGTCATTTGCTACTCCAAAGCCATTAACCTGGACCCTCAACAGGTAAGGGGGAATGCAGAGCAGGCATAGTTAGGTGAAGGTAAAGCCCACCTTGCATGGCATGTGGAAATAGAGTCCTTCAGCAGGGAGGACAAAGCTTATAATGTTGCATTTCTAAGATTATCAAATGAAGAACGTCATTGGGGAGATGAATGTTGGCATATATTAGAATCTGTTTGGGTGGGATTGCTGTGTTGTCTCAAAGAACTGTTTTCAACATGTCCAGATACAGGATAAGGAAGAAAGTTATTCTCAAGGCCTGAGGAATGTCTGGGTGCATTTGCAGGTGGAGTTCTATGTACAGAAGGCAGAAGCTTTTCTCCAGCTGTGTGATTTCCAGTCTGCTGTGTTGAACCTTAGAAAGGCCTATACCTTGTCCTCTGCGAAGGAAGAATATATAGTGCGCATGGCCTTCATTCTTTACCTGCAGGTGAGGGGTACAGAAAATCCCCTATTGGCAGGCATCAGCTTTTCCTTATCCCAGCCACAGCTTTCCTTGATTTCTCAAGCTCTGCATTAGAACACAGTGTCTAGTGACTGACCTTTGACCTTGAGGGAAATTTGGAGATGCTACTTGAGATGGAAGTCAACATGATCTTGGATTTCCAAGGGAGGGTCATTTGTGCATATTCATATTAGGGATGTTAAACAGTTAATTGAATAGTCCAATAACCTCATAAATTTTTATCGGTTAGTCAACTATTCTATAGTCCTCAGGGGTAGGGCTAACAGCCAGTGCATTCCAGCCTCACTCCCAAGGAGTTCCCTGCCAATCCGCATGAGGTGCCAGGTGGGAGCTGGTCTGTGAGGAGAGCCAGTTTAAAAACCAGCTCCCTTCATGGACTGACTGCCTGTTGCCCTGTGCTGCTGCCTCTGATACAGAGGCAGCAGCGCAGGATGGCAGCAGCTCATGTCCGGGGTGGGAGGAAGGAAATGAATGTAGTCTATAGCATTAACCTATAAGCTTTTGCTCATCAGATAATTGGTTAATCGACTATACTGTTACATCCCGAATTCATATTTGGGGGCAGGATATTCAGTCCAATGATTCCTCTCTGAAAGGTTTCATGTTTCTATTGTTCATAGTCATGGCTAGACTGCTGGGCCTCTTAACATGTTAAATTATTTGCAGCACAGAATGAACCAAAGTTCCCATCTGGGGTTCATGCAAGCTCAGCGCTCTCCAGGTAGGAGGAAGTGGTATTTAGTGCAGTTGCATCTCCATTTGAGCAGCACTTCTGTCCTGGGATTGGATGGAGACACAGAGAGGGCATGTCTACACTATAGGACAAAGTTGAATTAAGATACGCAACTTCAGCTACATTATTTGTGTAGCTGAAGTCGAAGACCCTTAACTTGGCTTTTGTCACTGTCTACACTGCAGGAAATCGAAGGGACAACATTCTTCCTTCAACTTCTCTTACTCCTTGTGAAAGCAGGGTTACCAGCATTGACCGGAGTGCCCCTTTCACTCTGAATTAGCTGTCTTAACTAGACTGCTAATTCAAACCCTGGAAGATTGATAACAGCAGCTTCAATCTTCCTCTGTGGTGTAGACGTATCCAGAGAGAGAGAGAGAAAATGCTGTTTCTTTCATTAATCTGGAGCAGTGGGCAGGTGGCCTGTCAGACTGATTCTGTGCTGTGTGATTTGAACTTGCAGGGCCAATGTCTGCTTGACCAAGAGGTCTATTGGGATGCTTTGGACTCCTTCATTCGAGCCTCAGAGTTGCAGCCCAAAAACTCAGTCTATCGGAGGAAGAGGTAAACTGGGATTTGCAATAGGGAATATCTTTATCCTAGCTCCTCTAACATGTATTCTCCAATGGTACTCTATTTCCTTCTCTTTCTAGCATCACCTGTCTTGCTGCTCTGAACAGATTCAGTGACTGTTTTCGGCTTGTCAATGAAGAGCTAGCTCAGGATTCAAAGAACCCAGATCTATACATCCTGAGAGCCAGGCTGCATGAGCAATTCTGTCAGGTAGGGCACCTGCTCTGCCCAGGGTGTGCTGGCTGCAGGGAATTGTCACAGAACAGTTATTCTTGTCCCCATGTGGCCTGTAGACAGGGTTCTCAATCTGCATGATCAACATGTCCAACCCTTGCTCGGTGAATTAATATATAAGTAATGGAGAGCAACAGCACATGTGCAAGGCTGCATATGCATTTCATATGGAATTGCTGCCTAAGGACAGAAAAGAACTAATCTGTTCTGTGATTAGGATAAAGCATCAAACTGGTTGATCCTAAACCTTTCCAGTGACTCTCACTCCTTTTAGGAAACTGATTGTTTCTCTCCCTACTAAATGCCAGCTTTCTGGGCTGTGGGATTCCACACCCTCTGGGGGTAGGGCTCTTACCTTCCCCTCCCATTTGGCTGTGGAATCCCACTCCATTTAGGAGCCTTCTTCCTCCTTGGTCTAGAGAAAGCAGGCAGAGAGATGGAAGCAGAGCACCACTCTGTGGACAGTAGACCTTTCTTTTATGGGAGTTCACGTTTCTTGGCCCAGCAGAAATGAGGTGCCTTTGACTCTGAGGAGCTGTAACTGGAGATCTTACTTCTGTTTTGTGTTTCCCGTTAGAAACAGGACTCCATCCTCTTGCCCTGCACCTGCAGGAACAACCGGTGCTGTAGGTTAGAAACTGGGGTATGAATGACAGAATTCTGCAGCATGCACTGAGCCTTCTGTTTGTCAACTTCTCCACTTTCTGCCCAGGCTAAGTGTCAGGAGATCTGGGTTTTCTAGGCTCAGCTCTGCCACTGATGCAGTATGTGGCCTTGGGCAAATATGTGTCTCCATTCCCTGCAAAATGGGGATAGTGATGCTGAGCTCTCCTTTGCTTGAGAAAAGTGCAAGGCCTAACCTCTGTTTCCAGGCTACCTTGTGTTACCAGGACGTCCAGGAGGCCATTGCTTTGCAGCCCCAGCACAAAGAAGCTCGGATTCTAATGCAGAGGCTGCTGAAACGAGCACAGAAAGCCAAGAACCAGGCTATAAATAAGGCCTTGAAGGGAAACCTGAAGGATGCCCTGCTCAGAATCACTTTTGCCATAGAGAATAATCCCTTTGATGCAGGGTACTTCATCTTCAGGTGAGACCCCCATTCCCTCCAACCGCTACTGAGATGGCTTGCGTGCACATCTGTGACCCTGTGAAGGGAGTGGGAGTCTGTACCAGCATCTGGGTGCTGGTTTCAGATTCTCAACACACCTATCATTTTAATCCTCCTGAACCAGGAGTAAATCCTTGCCTTCCATGTCTTCCTGCTCCTCTCTCTTCTGCCCCTCTTTGCAGAGGGACTCTACACAGAAGACTTAAGGACTTCAATGCAGCCATTGATGACTATATCAAGGCTGCAGAGCTCTGTGAAGAAGGGGGAGCTGAGGCCATGGAGGTGCAACAACAGCTCCTGCTCACGTACAATGACTTTGCAGTGCACTGCTACTCTAAGGGCTCCTTTGAAGAAGCTGTGATGCTCCTCAACAAAGCGCTGAAAGGGGAGAAGAACGAGAAGGGACTCTATGTCAACAGAGGAGGTAGCAGGGCTCTTCCTGTGTGGCAACTGAGTCTGTGTGAGGGTATCCCTCTGTGGGCAGCTGTTCTCTGAGGTTCTCAGACGCAGCTTAGAGTTTATTCCTAAATGAACGTAAGAGTCAAACATTGAGAACCAGAAATGTTCTTTGGGATAAGGGAGTGTATGGGCAAGTGTGGTGACAGCACCGGAATTATATAGTTATGTCTGTAAACATGCACACATGAGGGGGGTATAGAATGCCTATCGCTAATCCCAGTGGGATGCAATCATGTTAAATCTCATAAATAAAGTATAGTCATTGCTAAGATGAGAGACCTCGAAGGGTGCCACAGATGGCATTTCCCACCCCCACCCCCCATGCTGTCTCCTGTACCAGGGAGGCAAGGGAGTCTGAGTAAGGAACTGAGAGCTAGGTCTCCTAGCTTCTGTCCCTAATTCTACACCCTGGAATGAATCAATCACTTAACTTCTCTGCACTCTGGTTTCCTCATTTTTAAAAGGTAAATGTACCATTGCATGGGAGGCGGGGTTAGTTAATGTTTATAATGATTATTGCTGACTCATGCCCGGTACCTGTGCTACTGAAAGCACCTTCTTTGGCTGGGCCTTCATATTGCATCTCATCCAACTTAGCGCCAGTAAAGATTCCATGAAATGTTTTGCACCAGTTGAGGTTGTCACCTTGTTAATTCCAAATTAGAAACTACATTCTGCTTCTCTAAAATCCCACTGTAGTTTGCTGATGGTGATGTTCCTCACTTGTCCTAATCTGCTACCTGCTGTTTCTAAGCACTGTGAGGATGTGTCTACACAGCACTCTAAACTTGAAATAAGATACACAATTTGCATCAATGCAAGTTGCATATTTTATTTTGATTGTATTTCGAAATAGCTTATTTCAAAATTTGGCACATCAACACAGCTCCAAATTTCAAAATAACATGCTATTTTGAGACATCCTTTAACCCTCATGGAACAAGGACTACAGGGATGCCAGAATAGCACACCCGTTATTTAGAAACATATTTTGAAACAGGCACATTTAAAAGATGCAGGGTAGCTATTTTGGGATACTTTTGGTATCCCAAAAGAGCCCCACTAACTAGATATACCCTTAAACTACTGTTGCATTCCACACTACAGGTGGCAGCATTTTAGCTCTTCTGTGTCTAGAGTGCATTTGGGATCTTCAGGGTAGGCATCACTGTAGACACGTTATTGTAGCATATGTTTATAGTCTTAGGGAAATCTGAAGAGAGCAAATAGGACAGCATCAATTACTGGCCTTTGCATCAGTGATAACATGCTAAAACACTCAAATACCAACCTCAGCTTGCTGTTTGCTAAAGTAATCTGTATTGCTTCACTTCAGATTGCCTCTTTAGGCTGGGAGAACTAACCTTTGCCTTGGCGGATTATCAGCAGGCGCTGGAGTTAAGTCCGACAGACTTTAGTTTGCGAAGACGTGTTGGTATGTTGCTTGATGAGCTAGGATTGCAGGAACATAAGCAAAGGTATATTGGAATGGCTCTCTGCCATCTTATATCTAGTTGATAGACTTCTTATCCCACTGTAGCTCATGCTGCCTAGGGATTCTGTGCAGCTTACTCTTGTTTCCCTGCATCTTCTTTTTTCCCCAGAAAGTACCAACGGGCAGTGTACTGTTTCTCTGGTGCTATCGAGAGTAACCCTCGTGAGTCACACTATTACCTGCACCGGGCCAAGAGCCGCCTGTTCCTGCAGGATGTGATGAGTGCTAAGGAGGATGTGATCACAGTTCTGTTGCTGGACCCTGAAAATGAGGCGGTACTTCACTGACACCACTCCCTATATCAGACACCAAATAGTGAAAACCTGTGTCATCCTATAAACTTGGGTCCATGATCTGTGCGCCATCTCCTGGACACACACACTTACACTGACTGCAAGCTCCTTTGAACAGGCAGTCTTTAGTCTATGTCTGTAGTGCGCAATCCTGATTCAGGACCGAGGTTCCTTCACACTATGATGATACAGATAATGATTAGGGCTTGGAGCTTGCAGTGGTTATTTGCAAATGGCCTTTTTTTCCTGCTGCTTAGAAATCAGGAACTTATTTCTTGTAATGTTTTCAAGCTGCTCAGAGCATCAACCCTTCCCTGCAAGCCTTTGTGACTATCAGGAAACAAGACCAGGCCTTGAGTGGAAAAAATAAAACTTACACCCACCTACCATGCTATCTAGTGTTGAATATAAACTAATCCTTCGTTTTCCAGGAATTGCATTCTCCCCTCCACTCCAACAGGTTTTGCTGAATTAAATTTTCTTTAGAATTTAAAACCAGAATCCCTTCTCTAACAAGATTTCATTTGGATTACAAATTACCACTGAGGCTCATGCCTCAAGACTGTAATACTCTGGTCTGGTTCGGGTGGTTGGATTTGGGGTACGATGACTCTTGGTTTGGGCTAGATAGGTCAAACGAGATAATCTGGTGGTCTCTTTTAGCCATAATGCTAGGACTATCTTTTTAATGTAATTTATGCAAGTGTTTGGCTGCTCTAATGAGAGTTGCACAGTTTAATCCTTGCAACCTTTTCTGATAATAGAAGGCAGAACCTTTTCCTTCAGCATACAGTTTGCCAATTCAACTATGATCTCATTCCCTCTACAGGTCCTACCTGTTGTAACCAGCCTCTTTCCAGGACAGCCCATCCAGGATATTATTAGCAGTAAGATTGCTGAGGTTGCCAAAGCAATCTTGGAAAGAAAGATTCAAACCTGCCCCTATTTCAACAGCCCAGCTAAATTCAAATGGTATGGAGTAGGCAATGGGCACAGGTCAGCTAAAGTTTTTTTGGTGCTCTAAAAAATGCCTGATTAAAAAAACAACCCCAAAACACACATAAGCCTGATCACGTCCTGGCTCTAGTACTGTATTGTTAAATTATTCTTGGATTACGTAGGACAAACATGACCCAAGTCAGCTACAAATTTTTGCACTGATTTCAATGGGAACAGGAGCAACAGATTTATTCCAGAGTTTTTTGTCTTAAAAGGAAGGACAGTAGCTTGCCGTCTTTCCATACACTGTGAATCATGTCACAAGTACTAGATCACACACGTCTTGAGGGCATTTGTTCGTGTATCACTTTTTGCAGCTGCTTTGCAAGGGAAGTTCTCTGCCTTCCATGTGCCCCTACAGGCCACCCAGAGCTCTGGAAGATGAACCAAAGGAACAAAGTGCTCCAACTGAAGAGCTTCAGCAGCCACAGAGTGCCCAGCAGAATTCAGAGAGCGTTCTCAGACCCTGTGCAACAGAACATGAACTGTATAAGCAGATAGATAGCTCCAGGAGGAACGTGAGCAAAGTAAGCGAAGCTGTCTTGGAGGCAAAACAGTGAGAGGCAGGAAAAGTCAGAGTACAAATACTGCTACAGCTGCATGTTAGAGACGGCTGCCTGGGTTACAGACACCAACCTGTGTTTCAATGCAAAGTAGGTGTGCTTAGTCACCTTTCTTGCTGCCTTGACTAATAAATATATTGCTTCTTTCTTCACTTCTAGCTCCTTCAGTTTCTTTTTTGGTGGGAGGGCACCTGTGGAGACACCCTTTCCTGCTGCTAGGTGTGAACCCAGCCACTGACCAAGCAGCTTAGGAACTGAGGTTCCAAATCAGAAAAGTCACTATTTACAGTCTCTGCTATACTGCAAGCAAATACCACAGGAGAATGCTGGATTAACAAGAAACTGGTAACATTGCTGCTTTAGAGATAAACATCTAAGGGAATGTTCCTGCATAGTGATAAGACTTGGATTTTGAAATGGCCAGGAAAGCAGACTAGCTCCAGACGAGCCATGCACTGAATGCAGGCTGAGCAGGAGAAATGCTTTGATTAGGATTAACACCTGTGGCTTGAAGCTGATGGGGAGCGTGTGCTTCCTGTTGGTCTCCCACAGTGTAGATGCTATGGTGGCTCAGCTTCAGAGAAACCAACTCTCCAGATATGCATTTTGCGTAGTTGGATGGCATAACTTAAGCCGACCTGCCTGTTCTAGTGTAAAACAGGCCTAAGAGGAACCTGTTCAATCTGCCCAGTGGTCACGTGGCTGACAGTCACTGATCAGAATGATATGGCTATGGGACCATGGATTATCTACTGTCCTGGGAGTATATTTCTCATGCTACCTTCAAAATGAGAGATCCTGGAGGCCCAATTGTAAACAAACCAATTTTGGAGGTGGTGGATACTGCAATTGCAGCTGGTGCTCCAGGCTGCTGCCCCCCTTTTCCAGGACCTGGAGGTGCAGATTGCTTTGGACTCCCTCTCCAGGGAGGCCATGGCATCCCTGTGGCATCCCCATCCCAGGGTGGAGAGGCCACTGTGGAGACTGGACACCAGTACAGACTGGTGGGACCGGCTGGTCCTGGGGCAATGGGATGACCAGCAATAGCTCCAGAACTTTCGCATGCAAAAGCAGATGTTCCTGGAGCTGTGTGCCTGGCTCGCCCCTGCGCTCCAGAGAGCCACCACCAGGCTGCGGGCACTCATCCCCGTCAACAAGAGGGTCGCGCGGGGGAAGCTGGCCACACCGTACAGCTACCGCTCGGTGGCACAGCAATTCGGGGTGGGAAGATCAACCGTCGGTGCGATCGTCGTGGAGGTAAGTCCCAGGGGAAGTGGGGTGGGTGCTGCACGTGGCTGCACTCCATGCCCAGGGACAGCCAAGATTCCAGGCTGGGTCACCCAGGGGTTTGGGCCGTCCCTTCCTTGCACAGGCCCGCTGGTGGGGGGAGGGCGTGGGGTGCCCTGGTGTGTGTATTGTGTGTGTGAGGACAGAGGGAATCAAGGAGGGAGGGCCCAAGGGAGCGCACACTCACCCCTGCCGTATGTGATGTGTTCCCTTGTGTTTCTCTGCACTTTTCTGCAGGTCGTCCATGCCATAGGGCATCCGGGGGGGGGGGAACCAAGGGAGCGCACACTCACCCTGCCTTATGTGACGTGTTCCCCTGTTTGCACCCATTTGCAGGTCGTCCACGCCATCAACGACGTCCTGCTCCCAAGAATCATCCACCTCCGCGACGTGAACGCTACGGTGGCCGGCTTCGCTGCCCTTGGGTTCCCCAACTGCGGGGGAGCCCTGGATGCAACCCACATCCCCGTCTGGGCCCCGGAGCATTGAGTGGCCCATTTTATGAACAGGAATGGGTACTGCTTGATCGTACTCCAGGCCCTCATGGACCACCGTGGCCACTTCCTGGATGTTTATACGGGCTGGTCTGGCAGGGCACATGACTCCCGCATACTACAGAATGCTGGTCTGTTTCGCAGGCGGGCACCTACTTCCCCCAGCGGGAGTTTACTATCAGGGATGTGCCTATGCCCATCTGTGTCATCAGGGACACAGCCTACCCCCTGCTGCCCTGGCTAATGCAGCCCTACACGGGGCAGCCGGACCAGAACCGGGCCCAGCTCAACGACCACTTCAACCGGGCCCACAATCAAGTGGAGTGTGCCTTCGGCCACTTGAAAGCCCGCTTCCAGTGTTTGCTCACCCGTCTCGAGATGGGTGAGCGGAACTCCACAATCTTGTGTAGTGGAGAGGCCTTCCTCCCCACATGGATGGCAGCCGAGGGCCAGGCCTATGAACAGCCCCGCACAGCTGCCATTTGCCAGGCACACCAGGATGGGGTGCGCATCCGGGAGGCCCCATAGTAGAGTTGCCTCAGTGTCCCTTTACAACTCCCTCCCCTCTCAAACACCAAACAGTTTTTCTTGAACACAAAAACTACACGGTTTTATTTACAATGGGGAGAGGGGAGACCTTGAACTGGGAGGGGTGGCCCCTGCAACCGCTCCTGCGGGGGCAGACCTGCACATGGGGGGCAGGCCACGTCGGGGCCGGCTGCACGGGGAGGTGGGCAGAAGAGGCCGGAGCAGGAGGGACAGGGACAGGAGCAGTGCTAGGGGATGGATGGCGGGTGCATGGGGCAAGGCCATGCCATAACGGATGGCATGGCCAATGTGTGCAGTGAGGGTGGCGATTGAATCCGCCATGCGGACGCACTGGGCCTGGAAGGAGCCCCAGGCCTCCTGGCGCCACTGCACGTCCACCTCCACGCGCCGAGTGATGGCTGCCTCGACGCGCTCGATGGCCTGCACGTGGCGCCGAAGGAGCTGGACCTGGTGGCGGAGCCGCCGCCGTGGTGGTTGGGCGGCTGGGGGTGCTGCTGCTGCCGCTGCTGCCGCTGCTGCAGAGCTAGAGAGTCCCCGGCTTGTGCTTGGTCCCACTGCAGGGAAGAGAAGAAAGGATGGGTCAGTCAGTCAGCCCAGTCACTGTCCCCACACCTCATGCCCTCCACCCCTGAGCCCAAGTGACCCCACAGTAGTGTGGCTTGGGCCCACTCAGTTACCCCCCTCCCCTCCATGTTGTATGTTTGCATGCTTGGAGGAGGGTCCTCCTCCATGTATTGGAACCACCGGTCTGTGTCCTGGCCCCTTGGAGGGTGGGAGGGTGCTTGTGTTGTATTAACCTGTGGAACTCCCTGCTGGTGGAGGCGGTGAGGCTTTGGGCCTCAATGGTGTTTGACAGGGAGTAATTGGCTATGCACAGCTCTAGCCTTCACAGTGACTGCTTGAGATTAGCGCTGATGAGGAAAAGATTGTATGACATTTGAGTGAGAGAAATTTATGGCTGCTGCTTGAATTAATTTTCCTTTGTGTCTGTTCACGGCCTCTTAACTGGTTATTCTGTATTGTTTATAATGAAATCATGCATGTCTTGCACTTAACATCTGGACACCAGAGTTGCATGTATTCTCCATGTCTTGTTACACCTTTTAACATGCTGTGCTAAAGAAGCATGTTAATGACTAGGGGATGGTTCTGATCCCAGCTGTGACTCTCCCAAGTTTATGCTTGAGCTCATGGTGCCTTTGATTCCTTTCCAAGTCTTTGTCTATGTATACAATAAACTTTTCAAGGGCAAGGAGTGCATTTCACAATGGGTCTGTCTATACTGTAATTACACATCCATAGCCAGCCAACTTGGGCTCACAGGCACGGGCTCTGGCTTCCTCCAGGCCTCAGTGGTGCTTATCTATAACCCCTAGGGTTGCCAGGTGTCCGGTTTTTGCCCAGTAATTGCGTCTTCTGTCTGGCAAAAAAAAAAAAAAACCAACAAAAAAACCAGAAAATTTTCTGTTTTTCTTGGACAGAAGGCCGGCGGGGACATTTTCACATGCTCTCCCCCTCCCCTCTCTGGGCA